AATAACATAAACGAAGGAGAGATTATACGAAGATGACACAAACAAATACAACACGAAAAAGGGAACAAAACAATGAACCAATTAACAAGAACACAAGAGGAAAAAAGAATACCCCCTTAAAATAAAAAAAATCTAAAAAAAGAACAAAAGAAGGCAATACAAGAACAAAGAAATATGAGAAACGAAGATCCCCAACACAGAATAAGACGAGAAGCAGCACAGTGAAGAACAAGCAAGCCGACGTAGGCAATAGAAGGGAAGGAGAAAGAGAGAATAAGACGAAAGGAGAACAGGAGAACATAAGTCCAAGAGATCCACAAGGAGTGAGAGGGTTGGTGAGGGGACAGACCCCAAGGACCAGGTCAATATGAAGGGGAGAGAGAGAGAGGGGACTTGAGCATCTAGGGAGAGGAAGAGCAGAGAGATAGTAGGAGGGAGTAGGAGAGAGAGAATGGAGAATATAGTGACTGCGGAACGTGAATGAATCGAGAATGTGAATGCATGTGACGAATGAAGAATGTGAATCCATGTGACGAATGAAGAATGTGAATCCATGTGACGAATAAAGAATGTGAATCCATGTGACAAATGAAAAATGTGAATCCATGTGACGAATAAAGAATGTGAATCCATGTGGCAAATTAAAAATATGAATCCATGTGACGAATGAAGAATGTGAATCCATGTGACGAATGAAGAATGTGAATCCATGTGACGAATGAAGAATGTGAATCCATGTGACGAATGAAGAATGTGAATCCATGTGACGAATGAAGAATGTGAATCCATGTGACGAATGAAGAATGTGAATCCATGTGACGAATGAAGAATGTGAATCCATGTGACGAATGAAGAATTTGAATCCATGTGACGAATGAAGAATGAGAATCCATGTGACAAATGAAAAATGTGAATCCATGTGACGAATAAAGAGTGTGAATCCATGTGGCAAATTAAAAATATGAATCCATGTGACGAATGAAGAATGTGAATCCATGTGACGAATGAAGAATGTGAATCCATGTGACGAATGAAGAATGTGAATCCATGTGACGAATGAAGAATGTGAATCCATGTGACGAATGAAGAATGTGAATCCATGTGACAAATGAAAAATGTGAATCCATGTGACGAATAAAGAATATGAATCCATGTGGCAAATTAAAAATATGAATCCATGTGACGAATGAAGAATGTGAATCCATGTGACGAATGAAGAATGTGAATCCATGTGACGAATGAAGAATGTGAATCCATGTGACGAATGAAGAATGTGAATCCATGTGACGAATGAAGAATGTGAATCCATGTGACAAATGAAAAATGTGAATCCATGTGACGAATAAAGAATGTGAATCCATGTGGCAAATTAAAAATATGAATCCATGTGACGAATGAAGAATGTGAATCCATGTGACGAATGAAGAATGTGAATCCATGTGACGAATGAAGAATGTGAATCCATGTGACGAATGAAGAATGAGAATCCATGTGACGAATGAAGAATGTGAATCCATGTGACGAATGAAGAATGTGAATCCATGTGACGAATGAAGACTGTGAATGCAGGTGATGAATGAAGTGGGAGAGAGAAGAAAGACAGTAAGGAAAGGAAAGAGGGAGCAATAATGAAGAGAGAGGACAGATAACCAAGAGATAAGTACTGAGAGCTTAGAAGGTAGTTCTGAAGTAGTTAAATAGAGTGCCAGTGGTTAGGAGGGATGGGGGTAGTTTTGAAGTAGTCATTGAAAGTATTGGGAGGTAGTTTTGGAGACGGGGGGGGGGGGGGTTGAGTGAGGGTAGTCCTGGACTAATAATAGAGAAGGAATACTTGGAAGGCGGTGGAAGTTCTTTAGTAGTTATAGAGAGGAAAAGGAATATAAGGTGTGAACAGCTAGAAGGAATATGCCAGGATAGTCTTAAGATAGAGAGAAAGCTGTAGGTTACCAAGAAGGAAGCAGGTGTTGGGAAGGAGCTTCTATAACACTACATAGATGGAGTATTGATGGATAAACAGCCAGTGATCAAGATGGAATGTGTTGAATATCTCCATACAAATAGAGGTAATTAGGGCAAGTGGGATGGAGGGAAAGATGGAGAAAGGTAGAGAGAGGGAGAGAAAATTATGAAAGGAGGTAAGGAATAAAGAATAAAAGGAGAGCAAGAATGAAGGAAGGATGGATGAAATTAATGAATGAATCAGCGAAGGAACAAACGAACAAACTAATGAAAAACAAAGAAAATAAAATCGAAGAAAGCACGGAAGGAAAGAAGGAAGAACAGAAGGAATGCATCAAGAAAGACAGAAAAGAATATATGATGAGCACCAGAAAGAAAGGAAGAAAGAACGAAGGAGGGAAGCAGATTAAAGGATAAAGAGTGAGGTGAGAAGTGAAGATGTAGAGAGAAACAGAGAGAAGATGTAGGGAGGGAGAGAGGGAGGATGTAGCGAAGGAGAGAGGGAGGTAGAAAGCAAGAATAAGAGAGGGAGAGAGAAAGAGGGAGAGGGGGATGGGCAGCAGAAAGAGGAAGGGAAGTTAGAATGATGAAACGCTGTCCCAACACATACTGAAATAATTATAGAACCTATGGCGACTATTTGCATATAATAAATTAACAGTCGCCTGTTCACCTCCACACGTAATCCACGTTTTTGTTCTAATGGCATAGTAGAGACATTTAGAAACTGCAATAAACAAGGTAAAACACACACACACACACACACACACACACACACACACACACACACACACACACACACACACACACACACACACACACACACACACACACATAGCAATTCCTCCTCTTCAATCCATCCTTTAATTATCTTATCCACATGCTTTTCATTTCCTTATATTAATGTGTAAGATCCCACACGTGTCCATGGGACGAGATTAGTGGTGTGTGGGAGAGGAGATTAATGGTGTTTGAGATGAGATTAGTGGTTTATGTGCGATGAGTTGTGTGCAAGATTTGTTTAGGTGTTTGCGTGATAAGAGCCGTTTAGGCACATGCGGGCACTGTCGGGTTAGAGGGCTGTGAGATCACTTTGTATGTGAGATATGATTAGTGATATAGTAAGATAGGAATTTTTTTTGGACGGCTTAGAAAATGACATAATATTAAAGATTTTTGTGAATTTTAAAATCAGTAACGTTTAAAGCAATGTTTAAAGAGAGAGAGAGAGAGAGAGAGAGAGAGAGAGAGAGAGAGAGAGAGAGAGAGAGAGAGAGAGAGAGAGAGAGAGAGAGAGAGAGAGAGAAAAAATATAGGGTAGAAAGAAAGTTAAACAAAAGAATGAATGGAGAAAAAAATAAATACAAGCTCAAGACTGTGGCTTAAAAATTTGACATGGAACTCCTAACTACAATTGCTCTAAGACTCTCCCTACCTGATTATACCTTGTTCCTGAGGCCATACACGTCCCATACAGGAAACATACACCATCTACAGACCTCCAGTACAACCTTGTGAACATCCCCGTTCCTTCAGTGTTCCTGCAACTCACAATATAAACAGTGAGGCGGGTTTCGAAGCCACACTCAAAAATATATACCCAAAGAATGAATATCTGGAGTGTGTTTGAGACGAGGTTATTGCATGTTATGGGAACGTCACTTTTTATCATATATGTGATATCTTATGTGGAAATCTTTCTACCAGGACGGTGGGATTCATCCGCCATCTTGGATGACCCTAGACGTCTGCCCTCTCCATGGACCATAGAATGATATATCACGTTATTGGGATTTTATTGTGTATCTGAGGGAAGCGTTTGGAGGAGAATACCATTAGCTATACCAAAGTGTGTGTGGTTTCATGCTCGGTGCAGCTGGAGTCCAAGTGCGTTCGATCGGACTCTAGGTTGGGTGGCGTTTAGCATATCATGGTCCAGGGGTTAAGGCGCGTGTCTGGGGTGATCCGGAGCGTTGACTCCAAAGATTTTCTCATAGATATAACACGGTAATGTGATTTGGTTCTGGATGACATTCGTCTTGCTTGTGCTTAGAGTCATAAGTCTTGTGTATGTGTGATTATCTCTCTCTCTCTCTCTCTCTCTCTCTCTCTCTCTCTCTCTCTCTCTCTCTCTCTCTCTCTCTCTCTCTCTCTCTCTCTCTCTCTCTCTCTCTCTATCTCTCTCTCTCTCTCTCTCTCTCTTGACAAAAACCAACAAAGACTTCACAGACACACACACAAGGTTCCCCTTCAAGGAAGCAGAATGATCACGCTAGAGAGTAGTATTAATATTTATCTAGGAAGATTACTTTAATTAGAGAACAACATGTTTGTGTTGTGTGTGGTGCTGGCTTATGTTGTTCGTGTATGGGGCTTTGGTTGTGTTGCGTGAGTGGCCCAGGCTGTGTTGCCTGTGGTTCTGGCATGTGGTTTAGTGTTTCATCATATCACTATTGGTAAGAATTATCACTGTATTAAGTTCTTGTCAATACTCAGGTTTCATCATACGTCTATTGAGAATACTTTCAGAAACTAAAATCTCAATTAGCAAATAATTATATTGTTTCAACAATTTTTAAATTATGAAGGTGTCTAAAAATGGCAATTCTCTAATTGTTCAGATATTAATATTAAACCTAGGCCCAGTGCAAATTTTTTTTTGCCCAAACTTTATAAAAAAAATCATAAAATTTTTATTGACATATCACCTTTTTAGTACATTTTCTATAATCAATTCAGTTTCCATTTAAAGGTCTCAACACACTTTTCACACTTTTCGTATTTTTTAAAGTATAATTTTATATAATATGTCTTTTTCGTTTTAAAAAGACATATTATATTCCTAGTTCCAAAATAAAGCTTCTAGATGTTTTAAGTTTTTTAATATTTTAAAGATCTTAGGCATTTGAATTTTGGATATCAGTATTTGCTTCTTTAGAACGATCTTGATATCATCAGAAGGATACGTTTCTCCCTCTGAATATTCTGTATGGGACCAGCGATTTCGGTAAGACTTGCTCGCTTTAGAAGTTCTTTAAAAATTACTGCCAAAGTTTGGGTTTATGTGACTCGGTCTGGACCAAGGAAAAAGGTTGAAACCGAAGGTGTGCTAGTCCTGTAGTGTAAGATGGTGGTCCTGTAGAGTTCTGGTCCTGTTGAGTAAGGCAATGGTCTTGTTGAGTAAGGCACTGGTCCTGTTGAGTAAGGCACTGGTCCTGTTGAGTAAGGCACTGGTCCTGTTGAGTAAGGCACTGGTCCTGTTGAGTAAGGCACTGGTCCTGTTGAGTAAGACACTGGTCCTGTTGAGTAAGGTACTGGTTCTGTTGAGTAAGACACTGGTCCTGTTGAGTAAGGCACTGGTCCTGTTGAGTAAGACACTGGTCCTGTTGAGTAAGGCACTGGTGCTGTTGAGTAAGGCACTGGTCCTGTTGAGTAAGGCACTGGTCCTGTTGAGTAAGGCACTGGTCCTTTTGAGTAAGGTACTGGTTCTGTTGAGTAAGACACTGGTCCTGTTGAGTAAGGCACTGGTCATGTTGAGTAAGGCACTGGTCCTGTTGAGTAAGGCACTGGTCCTTTTGAGTAAGGCACTGGTCCTGTTGAGTAAGGCACTGGTTCTGTAGAGTAAGGTGATGTTAAGAAAAGTGGCGACTCTTGAATACACAGATTTGTGTCTTTCTGTTAAAAAATCAGCCCAAAAGGCAGATTTGAGAATCTTCCGCAAGAGCAAGAAGCCCGCTAACTTGCTTATAAATTACAACACCAAGCGAAAGGTCCTGAATGAGCCGAATGCGATTTATACTCTGCCCACTTGGGGTGGCTGTCAGCCCCAACGATTTTAATATACAGGCAAGACAACACAACATCTATTTCAGTGCCTGACAATGCACAAACAACAAGGCAATCTGGTTTGTGTTGTAGAAATATCATTTCTGCAACACACACACACATATACATACAGCATGTAAATGTATATAGCTCTCTATGTTTCATCCTCCTACCCTCTTAGTCTCTCTTATTTTTTCCCCAGACCCCCTCTTCCATACATAAATCTTTCCCCTCTCTCCACCTGACACCTCCTCTCTGCTCCTCTCCCCCCCCCTTCCCTCCTCTCCCATCACTATGACAGCGTCAACACTTACGTCAACATATCTATCTTTTTCATGTTATTTGTCGTCATCAGTGAGGCCTGTCAAGCTCTGATCTTCCACTTAGTCTCAACTGCTATTCTTATTCTTTGTCTCTAATGTTTTATTCTTTGCCTTTCTCTTTTTTTCTAATACTTTGGCTCTTCTGCTTTATTATAATATTTCGTCTTCTTCTTTATTTTCATGTTTTGCCTCAGCTCCCTCTTCCAATTTCCTTTTTTTTTAATCTCACTCTTCCTATCCTTTCATCTATCTTTCCTCTCTTCCACACTTGCCACGCTATTTTCACCTTCGTCTTTCCACTCTCCTTATTCCTTTCCCATTCCTTGTCTCTCATCAATCTTTCCTCCCCTGGTAAGCGTGCCTCACCCCACTCTCTCCCTGGCTGACTCTTTGGCGCTCTCTCTCTCTCTCTATCTCTCTCTCTCTCTTTCTCTCTCTCTCTCTCTCTCTCTCTCTCTCTCTCTCTCTCTCTCTCTCTCTCTCTCTCTCTCTCTCTCTCTCTCTCTCTCTCTCTCTCTCTCTCTCTCTCTCTCTCTCTCTCTCTCTCTCTCTCTCTCTCTCTCTCTCTCTCTCTCTCTCTCTCTCTCTCTCTCTCTCTCTCTCTCTCTCTCTCTCTTTCTCTCTCTCTTCCTCTTCCTCCTGTCATTGATCAGTTATTTCCCAATTGTTATCTTCTGTCGACAACCGTCTATTCACTTTCTCATTCACAATCTCCCCATCTCTCTCTTTCCTAATCTCTTTTTTCTCAGTCTACTTTTCTCAATCTCCTTTTCTCTTTTTTGTATCTTTCTTTCCCTATCTCTGTCTTTCCTGTCTCCATCCCAATCTTCATTTTTCGCAATCTCTCTCTTTCACCATCTCTCTCTCTCTCTCATCCTATCTATCCCAATCTCTCTCTTACACGACACTGGATGAAATATCTTGAAAATATTATGAACGACTTAATCACTTCTTGTTCATGTGTTCTGAGTTCTAGCAACTGCCGAACTACCCTTACGGTCTTGTTCGAGAGTATTTTCAGGTTTGGTGTTGACCAGACCACACACTAGAAAGTGAAGAGACGACGACGTTTCGGTCTGTCCTGGACCATTCTCAAGTCGATTGTGACTTGAGGTTTGGGCCCTTAACACCTACCAATCTCTCACACACCCAGCTCTCTCACCCATCTCTCGAATATAAATATATTCTTCACATATTCTTAATTCTCTTACAACACCTTCTCTCACACCCAACTCTCTCTCTCTCTGTCTGAGCTCTTTCTCACAAGAATCTGTTATATTTCTCTCTCGCACCTACCACTATCTCTCAAACACCCACTTCACTTTCACATATTTAATCATATTTGCCCACATAATCTAGAAAAGAAAACAATAACCCAAGAAACCCCACTACAATGTCACACAGAAACCCACAGAAAGTCTACACAAAAGACCTGTATAGTAATGTTATAGATCACAAATATCAATAAACTGGGTCGTTCATTCAGCGTGCAGTTGTCGCCGGGTCCTAATTCTTGATACAGAGCCGTGTGTAAATCAGTATAAATCGGCGTAAATCAGAGCGTTATAGCAGACAACGTTGATATACGCCGCAGGGGCTCAGGGGAATCCTTGAGCAGCTCCCCCGTCGGGTACGCTTGGCGATGCGTCAAAAAGCGTAACGAAAGGGAGGAATATGCATGAGCTCTGTGGCAAGTGATGATACTTTGAGGTTACCTTGAGGTGCTTCCGGGGCTTAGCGTCCCCGCGGCCCGGTCGTCGACCAGGCCTCCTTCATATTTGGGAAATTAGGAGAGGTGCCACGGCGTTCTATATCTCGTGATACTAAAAATTTGTTTGAATTAATATTAAAATTCTATGAATTTTTACAATGTTGGATTCAACAGAATGAATGAATGAATTATCAGGAGAAAGCGCCAAGCCATTAGGACTATATAGCACTTGGAAGGAGTCAGGATAAGGATTTGGGATGGGTCCAAGAGAAGAAATGGTGCTCAACCACTTCGACGGTCGGGGATTGAACGCTGACCTGCATGAAGCGAGACCGTCGCTCTACCGTCCAGCCCAAGTGGGATTCAACAGGAAATGAGGAAATGTTGACCAGACCACACACTAGAAAGTGAAGGAACGAGGACGTTTTCAAGTCGATTGTGAAATATCGACTTGAAATGTCGAAATGTTGAAATATCAAAATATCGACTCACAATCGACTTGAGAATGGTCCAGGACGGACCAAAACGTCGTCGTCCCTTCACTTTCTAGTGTGTGGTTTGGGCAACATATTTCAGCCACGTTATTGTGACTCCTCGTCTGCAAATGAGGAATGATTCTCATTGTTAAGAAAATGTAAAACACTGAAATAACACTAAAAATAATTGGTGAAGTATTTATGTGAAGCAAACAATTTCCCCGAGAGTAAAAACAAATTCAAAATCAATATACGAGTCTACGCTTGCAAGCACTCAAAGCAAATCGCATTACAGACAGGTATTTATTTCCACTATCTGACATATCACAAGTTTAAATCATAATTAAAACACCGGAAATAATAAACACACATTTTTGGACAAGAAAAACAGTTATAGGTCATCGGGGCAACTGAGGATGTACTAAAAAATTTAATTTGGGGTTTAAGGCCTACCAACCGCGAGAGTTGGTAGGCCTAACCCACAAAAGTTTACTGACCAACCAGCAAAAGAAAAAAAAAAGCTGGACAGAGTTCAGGATTATATATAACTCTTAGTGTATAAAAGAGGCCTCTCTATTAGCTCTTAGCTCTTGAACCCCGCCTTTCTAACCAATCTATCTTTCCTCTATTATGTCAACTACATATATTTCTCTCTAACACACACACACACACACACACACACACACACACACACACACACACACACACACACACACATGTGTGCGGACGATGCTAAAATTATGAGAAGGATTAAAACAGAAGAGGACTGTTTGAGGCTTCAAGAAGACCTAGACAAGCTGAAGGAATGGTCGAACAAATGGTTGTTAGAGTTTAACCCAACCAAATGTAATGTAATGAAGATAGGTGTAGGGAGCAGGAGGCCAGATACAAGGTATCATCTGGGAGAGGAAATTCTTCAGGAGTCAGAGAAGGAAAAAGACTTGGGGGTTGATATCACGCCAGACCTGTCTCCTGCAGCACATATCAAGCGGATAACATCAGCGGCATATGCCAGGCTGGCCAACATACGAACGGCATTCAGAAACTTGTGTAAAGAATCATTCAGAACTTTGTATACCACATATGTCAGGCCAATCCTGGAGTATGCAGCCCCAGCATGGAGTCCATATCTAGTCAAGGATAAGACTAAACTGGAAAAGGTTCAAAGGTTTGCCACCAGACTAGTACCCGAGCTGAGAGGTATGAGCTACGAGGAGAGACTACAGGAATTAAACCTCACTTCGCTGGAAGACAGAAGAGTTAGGGGGGACATGATCACCACATTCAAGATTCTGAAGGGGATTGATAGGGTAGATAAAGACAGTCTATTTAACACACAAGGGGACCACGCACAAGGGGACACAGGTGGAAACTGAGTGCCCAAATGAGCCACAGAGATATTAGAAAGAACTTTTTTAGTGTCAGAGTGGTTGACAAATGGAATGCATTAGGGGGTGATGTGGTGGAGGCTCACTCCATACACAGTTTCAAGTGTAGATATGACAGAGCCCGATAGGCTCAGGAATCTGTACACCTGTTGATTGACGGTTGAGAGGCGGGACCAAAGAGCCAGAGCTCAACCCCCGCAAACACAACTAGGTGAGTACAACTAGGTGAGTACACACACACACACACACACACACACACACACACACACACACACACACACACACACACATCCACAGGAAGCTGCCCAAAACAGCTATCTAACTCTCAGGTATCTATTTACTGCTAGGTGAACAGGGGCTTCAGGGTTGAAAGAAACACTGCCCATTTGTTTCTGCCAGGCTGTGACTCATACGTCAGGCTGCGAGCAGCTGCGTCCAACAGATCTGGTTGACCAGTCCAGCAACCAGGAGGCCTGGTCGAGGACCGGACCGCGGGGACCCTAAGCTCCGAAGCCCCGAATTTTGAGAAGCCCCGAAATCATCTCAAGGAAATCTCTCTCTCTCTCTCTCTCTCTCTCTCTCTCTCTCTCTCTCTCTCTCTCTCTCTCTCTCTCTCTCTCTCTCTCTCTCTCTCTCTCTCTCTCTCTCTCTCTCTCTCTCTCTCTCTCTCTTGTCTTTCTTATTCCATCCTGTTTGTTAATCTTCGATGAATATGCAAATGGCCCTGTGTTGTGACACGAAACATTTGTTTTCTACACGCGTTCGATAACTACACAGCATAATTGCCCTAGTCTGTCCTACAAGGGGGAAAAAATATAGACGGTGCTGAATTTTTCTTCGCACGCGATCGACGGATACATTCACTACCTCGTCTAGTCTGTCCTATGAAGT